CATGCTAAAATTGTTGCACGTACTTGTCTTTAAACTGCAAAACAGAGCCGTAAAAATAATTCCAGCAATCTGGCCTGACTTGGAATTAAGTATTCAGACTGTTCTTTCTCAGCATTGAAAGTATGCTTAACAACGAGAAGCTGAGGATGCCTACTTGGAATGAGGACCAGATTTGGGCTGTGGTCACACGGGAAGCTTATCCTGATTTTTTCCCCACTATAGATTTGATCAGGAATATTTTTTGGGGGGGTTGGGATAACCACACAACCCTCCATGAACCGCTTGCATCATGCAATGAGGCTTCGGGCACCGTCCAGATAGCTGCGCCGCTGCTTGGGTGGCACGGCTTGTTTTTTTAAAAAAAATTGGCTTTGCACATGCACATATACACATGGCCGAATCACCACTCCCACTGGGACTCGCCGTACTCCCTAGTTCTTGCAGGTTCCCCCAACAACAACAACGAACAAAACTAACTGGCGACGTACAACTGAGCATTGGAGTCTATATGTGCACTTGAACGTTTATACATTGAATTTATTCAGTGCAGGATTGCTCATGCACACAACGATGGAAGCTTGGGGGGGGGGGACCATCGCAAGAAGGACGTTCAGATGACCTAATCACAATCATTGCGAGAGATGACTGTCCAGATCGGTGAAATTGCGGGTTCAAAGCACAAATATCCGGAAAGTACTTGATTTTCCAGGTGTAGGAAAACTCGCTAGGGAACCGGGAGGATTGTGCGAATGAGCCCACTTTGGTGTAGAATGCGGGCATCTGATCAGTAATTCTAAATGCGAGAGGGAACAGTGGTGAAACCTGATCAAAATGACCGTGTGACCACGGCTTCGGTGTTCTTTAGAATGGAGTGGGGAAAAGGACTCTTTAGTAGATTGCATTTTAAAGTAGGTTTGCATGTACACAGAGAACAAAGTTTGAATCCAGTGGCACCCTTAAGACCAGCAAAGTTTAATTCTGGGTAGAGGCTTTGGTATGCGTGCACATGAAAGCTTCTACCCAGAATTAAACTTTGTTGGTCTTAAAGGTGCCACTGGACTCAAACGTTCTGTTGCTTCAGACCAACCAGGCTACCCACCTGAATCTATACACACAGAGTATTACTCCACACACAGGTGCTGTGCTGAGGGTCAAAGGGTAGCGTTAGGGTGCTTGGGCCGGCTCCCCACTCTTTTTGTATTCAATCAATGCACACGAGGAATCATGAGTCACAGTCATGGACCAGCTCAGGTACTGGATCTGTAGCTACGAACTTCAACTATGGCCAAGATAAGTTTTCCATTACTGCCCTTGGCAGAGTTTGCAGTAATGTAAAAAACAAAGCCACTCACCTAACCTGGTTCTTTGGAAATAGATCCCGGTGGGTAGCCGTGTTGGTCTGAAGCAGTAGAACAAAGTTTGAGTCCAAGTGGCACCTTTAAGACCAACAAAGTTTTATTCAAGGTGTGAGCTTTCGTTACGCTACATCCGTCTCCTCCCAAGCATGGAGGTAACTAACAGCATCCTTACCTATGAGGTGGGGTGTTTCCACAATTACAAAGTATACATTTACACATCAACCTCCAATTCTGACATATTTATTTGCTTCACTGTGTCCCCCCCCCCAATCGAAATTAAATCCAAACCAATTTAGACCATATAAACTTAGCTCATTTTCCCTGTTTGGTCCTTACATTTATTTATTTATTATTTATTTATTTAATTGCATTTATATCCCGCCCTCCCTGCATGCGGGCTCAGGGCGGCTTACAAGACATAGGTGTAATACAACACCACAGTTACACAAATAAGGCACGCAGTGCAATAAAATACGGTTAAAACAATTTAAAACAATTAATTACAGTGGGCAAGTCCCAGAAATCTACTGCGACTAACATACTCGCTCCCTATTGTACATCACATTGAGTCAGAGAGGGGGATGCTATGGCCCCGATGTTCAAATGGCCAGTCAGCCTAACCCAGCGGTACTGCTTTTCAGTCGCCCGTTGGTGGTTGTGGCGGCGGCGGCTCCTATTCAAAAGCCTGGCGGAAGAGCTCCATCTTACAGGCCCTGCGGAACTGTAACAGGTCCCGCAGGGCCCTGATCTCCTCCGGGAGCTCATTCCACCAGATAGGAGCCGCCACCGAAAAGCCCTGGCCCTTGTGGCAGCAAGCCTGGCCTCTTTAGGGCCCGGGGTCACTAGGCGGTGTTGTGACCCCGACCGAAGTGCTCTTTGGAGCCTATATGGGGAAAGGCGCTCCCTCAGGTATGCCGGACCCTGGCCATGTAGGGCTTTAAAGGTAAGCACCAGCACTTTGAAGTGAATCCGGAATGCTATAGGCAGCCAGTGCAGCGCTTTCAGCACAGGCTGAATGTGGTCCCCTTTAGAGGCACCAACAACCAGCCTGGCCGCCACATTCTGTACCAGCTGCAGCCTCCGAATTTGCGACAAAGGCAGCCCCATGTAGAGAGCATTGCAGTAGTCTAGCTTCGAGGTAACCATCTCATGGATCACTGTGGCCAGGTCTTCGCGGCTAAGGAAGGGGACCAACTGCCGCACCAGCCGAAGATGGTAGAAGGCTGCTTTGGCAGTGGCTGCCACCTGGGCATCTGTTTTAACATCTGTTAAAACATCATCATGCTGTATGTTAATTTGCTGTTCACCCTCTACCTACATGTATGGATTGGTAACTTCCATTTCAATGTACCTGGGGAAGTGTGCGTGCCCACGAAAGCTCATACCTTGAATAAAACTTTATTGGTCTTAAAGGTGCCACCTGGACTCCGACTTTGTTCTGGCTCTTTGGAAGTTACGGATTTCACCCTTGATTTCAGTCCCAATGTCCCATCTCTAAGCAGCTTTCCAGCAGACTTAGCCATTGTAGATCCTTGACACATGGACTAGCCTGCAAGATCTGATAAGGACTGCCAAGGAGGCCTACAAATTATGCACTAACCAACACTGGTCATGGTCCTCTGACTTAGGAGATATCAGGTATAGTTATCCATCAAGTGACTGCAGGCAGAGCAACCCAAACATAAGATGGAACCTTCCAGAACCTCTGTAAAGTCTGCCTGTTGAACTCAAGCTCCAGCTTCCGGGACCCTAGAAAACACCAGTGTTTTGCTTATTATACTTGTTATTTGGCTGTCGTGAACAATTATTTTTAATTGTTCCTTGTTTTTTTTTTTAAAAAAATGGCTGTTCAGCATGGCAGCACTTTCGGATGGAAGCCCCAGTGTTACTGATGCTGCCAATGCAGTGCTATAGCATCAATGGGGCTTCCAAATGGCAGCTTTCCCTGCATTTCCCCTACCTAAGTTCCACAACAGTCGTTCCCTTCATGCTGTGTTTGTATGTGTGTGTGCAGGAAGCTTTCTCTGAGTTGGTTTTTTAAAAAAACTGGTAATGGACATACCAATATATTACTATACTGACATGCCATTTACCATTTTTTTAAAAAAAAAAACTTAAAAGAGTCCCCGTTGCACTGGGAGGAATGGCTGCCATAGCGACTAGGCCAGGGAAACGGCTGCTGTGTAGGGTGGGAGTCCATGGCGGTAGGGACATGAGGGGGGTAGCGTCAACGCGGCAGCATTACATCATGTCATACCCCTCTAGGGATTGCTGGAAACTCTATGGTAAAACTAGAGAGTTTCTGGCAATTCGGGGTTTGTGTGACATCACTTCTGGGTTTTCCCTGGAAGTGACACAATGCCGTTATGCTGGTGTCAATTTTTTCAGGGTCCCCCCCTCCAGACAACAGAGGGGTTGCGGGCAGCAGGGGTTGCTTGTGGGAACTCTCCTACCATAGTAGGGTACCTGGCAACCCCACTACTGTGTGAGAGGGACTAAAAAAATCCAGGACTTCCTACACACAGAGCAGCTAGCCCAGTTTTGCTGCAATCTTCCCTACAACATTGCAGCAAAGCAGATTTGAGAAACATCAGAGAAATGCCCAGGATGATAGGCAGGGTGATAGGCAGCAGGGTGATAGGCAGGTCCTTTGCAGCAGGTCCTTTGTAGGGTGATAGGCAGCAGAACTGCCGCTCAGAGCTATGAGCTTATGGAACATTGCTCTTAACGCAGGCACGCTTTGTGTCAGCCCAGTAGACTGGGAAACTTCTTGTAAAACTGTGATCAGACATGCATTTAGTTCTGATATAGATGCTGATGCCTAACGGATCTAGAGTGCACATTCAGACAGCAACATCAATGAAAGGTTCCGCGGTTGTCAGCACCTTGTTCTGCCCCTCCCCTGAATTGGAGTTAAAAGACACCAGGGAAAGTCTAGTCCTAACACTTGCTGACGGGCCACAGACGGATTTTCCCGAGTTTGATCACTCAAGTACGCTCTCAAGCCATCGGGATAGTCTGCTCATTCCATCCCGACTGGGCGCCGTTTCTTTTTTGTTCGCTTGGCGATATGTGCATAACTGCATAATTGTCTCCATCTCTGGGCAAGATTTGAAAATGAGTGGGCAAGGGAGTGATCTCTGTCAGGTGACTGCGGCTCACTGTGAACCGAAGAGACCAAAGTGCTCCGCAGAAGGATTGGCGAGCTTCTCTTGACTCTCGGAAGTGGAAATGCGCATGCACAAAATGCCCTGCTTGGAGACATCTCCACACGGGTTCACTTCCTTGGTAATGCACATGTGCAAAAGACAGCAAAAACCCCAAAACAAAACAAAAAACCCCACTTGCCCGACTATGCCGTCTGATCGTTCAGTGACAGGCTGGGCCCACAGTTAAACGGATTATGCTTGGATGTCTGACCAAACGTCTCCATGTCAAATAGTACCGGATGAAATCAGGAGTGCTTCCCAACCACACTAAGTCTGACCGCAGCCTAAGAGGAGTAAAGGACAGTCGACAGGCATGCAGATTAACTGCTATTTAATAAACCCAATTTAACCCAAGCTTTATTATCTGGAGCTTTATTGAAAGGTAGGAGGGTAATTGCCTGTAAATCCAAAGAGCTCCCAGGATACTAAAGAACTATGTCATGTTGTCATCACTCTTTGTTTTTGGCAATAGATCAACAATATATATCTCTGGCATCTTCAGCAGGTACTTATTTTCTTTATATGGTCCAAGATCTATGTCTGACATTCCTACTTTCCACTCTGGGAAATCTGGAGCTGACTTCAACCACCAGTCTTCCATGGGGGCCTCTCCAGTGAACCACCACAACTAGGAGAAATGAGGAAAGGGCTCACTATATGACTGAAAGCAGGGGTCATTTCGTAGAAAAAGAGCTAGGGGAACTCATTAGCATAACTCATTAGCATAACTCATTAGCATATGCCACACCCCCTGACATCAGGGGCCCGGCGGTGGACCTGCAAGGCCAGCGGGAGTGCGAGGAAGCCCCGCCAAGGCCCTCCCTGGCCCCAGGCAGGCAGGGGTGGGGAGAGGCGGGGAGGAAGCAACTTACCCTCCCTCTTCTCCTGCCTCCTCCTGGCTGAATGAGGGCTGGAAGCAGGGCGGCCGGAAGCAGGGGGCGGGGCTTCATCATGTGCCTCGCCCCCTGCACCTCACCCGGTGCGATCCCCCGCGTTCCCCCCCGAAATAACCTCTGACTGAAAGGAACCCGGCCTTCTCAGAGGTCAAAACGAGATGGACTCTTTAGCCCTCTGTTATTGCTATTTGTTTAGGGCTACATGCTGGAATTTTAATATGGTAAAAAAAAATACTACGATTAGCATATATGTCTCGTCACTTAATGGGAAGCACCAAGCCAGGTGGGAGCGTGACTACAAAACTGATGCGTCAATATCCTGATTGTTAATAAACTATAGTACAGGTTCTAAATGCTATTCCTAATCCTGAATTTGGGGGGGAATTGTTAAAAATTAATGTTTCATTTCAGCCAGTTGCTTGGCTATTTAGCCAGTTAACCAGCCATGCTATGCTATCCTATGTCCAGTCTCTAAAATGAAGAGGAATATGTGAGCATATTAAAAAAAAGGCATTTAGAAAATATAACTGGGTCTCCATTTCCAGACTGTGATTTCAAAACTTTCAGCTGGTACACACTGTAACATACTGCCAGGAGTCAGGAACTTGGAAACTCCTGCATCAGGAAAGGTATGCATACGCAAGATCAATTTATTTAGAACAGGCTACAACAATATTAAGTCTCAGTCAGCTGTTGCTACACATGCACAAATTGTTGCCCATGCAGAAAATGTGAAAGCACAAAAGTCACAGCCCTTCTCCTTGACAAAGTTAGATGGTACCTGTAATGTTTTCATGTTTTGATGTGTGTGTTTCTATAAATGTTTAGTTTGACTGCACTAATGTAAGGAGAGTGATAGAGGGAGATAAGTGTGATGTGATTGGTGGATAACAGAGAATGTGGGAGGAGGGGTATCTCGGAGGAGATTCTGAGTTTGAGAGAGACAAGTGTGGAGAGTTTTGGTGTTTAGCCTGTATGGCAGAAGAAGCAGTTTTAGTCTATCCTGTGTGGCTAAGACAAACAGTTTAGCCTGTGTGGCTAAGAGAGGCAGAGTTTAGCCTGAGTGGCTATGGCTGTCAGATTTGAGTTTTGGTGTTTTGAGAGACAGTGTGTGATGCCCAGCTTTATCAGTTATATTTATAAGTTCCTTTCTTCAACAACTGTTCAAAAATACCCAGAAACCTATTTTGTTCTTTTATAAATAAATAATTATTTGTTTAAACTTATTCCAGCAGTCAGAACAGTCCTTCCTCAGGGCCACATAGTCATCTGAACTGGCCAGACGCAGGGTCATTCTACCATAATAGAGACATTTGGAATTTTTAATTCCTGGTGGCAGCAGTAATCTACTAAATTTATGTGAACAGAGTGTGTTTTAAAGGAAAAACAGTCTCTCCTTTAAGGAGGACATGACAGTACCCTTGAACCTTCAAACACCAATGGTGGCATAAAAGCTGAAGAAATATTTCTAGTGACATTTTAAAAAAAGAAAGCCTACTGAAAGAGGTGGAAAGAGTAGAAGGACTAACACCAGTTCCCTTACATGTAAAATGTATCAGCTGCTACATTCAGTTTCAAAACCATGTAATCCTTCAAGTGTTTGAACTCATAATGGCTTTCAAGGCTCTTCTGCATTCTCATTTTTGTTGCTTGTGCATTCCTATTGCTTTGGGGGGTTTTCTTTGCTGCGTATTTTGCTCCCTCTAATGGTCAATTCTATATTACTGTGCTGTATATCTGCTATATTTCCCTGCTGATTTAAAGTGCTGGGAGATATGCCGGATATACAGCCATCAGTGCTCCTTCTAAGCAAAAATCCTATCTTGTGAACCAAAAAAACTAAGAGAATAAAAGTTGTGAGCGAGCCTAAATTGTTAATTTTTAAAACATTTCCATTTACAAACATAAAAACAGGAAGGAAGGAAGGAAGGAAGGAAGGAAGGAAGGAAGGAAGGAAGGAAGGAAGGAAGGAAAGAGGGAGGGAGGGAGGGAGGGAGGGAAAGAAGGAAATGAAAGAAATAGAAAAAAGGAAATGGAAGCAAAGGGAAAGAAAGGAAAAGAAAGAAATAGAAACAAAGGGGAAATGAAAGAAAGGGAAAGAAAAAAAGGGAAAGAAAGGTGGAAAATGGAGAGAAAGAAAGGGTAAAAGAAAGGAAAAGAAAGGAATGGAAAGAGGGACAGAGAAGTGAAAAGAAAGAAAGGCAAAAAGGCAAAGGGGGGAGTAAAAGAAAGCAATGGAAAGGAAGAGAAAGAAAGGAAAGAAAGCGAATAGTTGGGGAAAGAGGAAAGAAGGGAGGGGTGGAAAGAAGGAAGAAAAAGAGAGGCCCCCTCTACTGTAGGCAGCCATCAGAGTGCTCAATTTGGCTCCCACCTTCCAAGTGGGGGGAAGCTAAAGGAAGGGCTGAAATGGCTTCCTGCCCTTTAAAGCCAGCAGCCGACAGGACTGCTTGTCAGCTGCTCACTTTAAATGGTGCAGAAAATAGTCAATGGCAACCGTGATATATTTACGAAGGTAATATTACTCTTTTAATGATTTAAGTCTTTGAGAGAAAATAGACAGAGAGGAAACTGGATAAGAGAAAATGTCACTGTGTGTGAGCATTATGCAGAGAGGCACCATGCGGAGATGAATGCTGAGTAGGAAAGGATTCACTGAGTCTACACGTATTCTGCTCTTATGAAACAGGTGTTGTACCAAGCCTGTATGCAGATTCGCGACCTTTATGCTATTTGTCTACAATCCAATATTAGTACAAGAAAGACGCAAAGAAAATTTACTGCTTGCAAGAACTTTAGATCATTGGATTTTTTATGTTTATTCTTGCATGAATGTACAAAAATGCATTAGTATTGGTATGAATATTGATCTTTTTTTTAATCTATAAAACAGTGATATTCCCTTCTGCTTTAAAAAGTGGGCAGTCATTTCAGGGCTCCCTTTCGCTCCCCCTGCTTCCAAGCTGGGGGAAGTGGAAGGGAGCCCTGAAAGGGTTTTTCCCACCCTTTAAAGCGAACAGTGGGGCAGGTCTGCTTATAAGCTGTTCACTTTAAAGGACAGGAAGCCTCCCTTTCACTTCCTCCCGCTTGTAGGCGGGGGGAAGGGGAAGGGAGCCCTGAAATGGCTTCCTACCCTTTAAAGCAAACAGCGGGGCAGGTCCGCCTGTCACCTGTTCACTTTAAAGGGCAGCCAGCCATTAGAAGCCTCCCTTTCGCTCCCTCCTTATAGGGGGCGGGGGAAGCAAAAGGAAGCCCTGAAATGGCTGTGGGCTATTTAAAACAAACAGCTGACTGGCGGACCCACCGGTCAGCTGTTTGCTTTAAATAGCTGGCAGTTCCTCCTCCCTTCCTCCCTTGGGGAAGGGGGAGGGGACCAAAGGGTGTGGGGAGGGGAGGCTTGGCTTTGTGCTTCTCCCGTGCACTTGAGGGAGCCAGGTGGAGGCAGGGGAGAGTTTTCTGGCCCTGCGCTCAGTGGGGGAATCTGTGCACTGGAGGTTCGGTATTTGTGTGCCAGCACAGGTTGGCGCAGCTTAAAAGGAACACTGACAGCAATGTAATATCAAATTGACTACTAGAGGGAGCAAAACATGTGTCAAAAAGAAATGCCCCCCCAAAGCAATAGGGACACACAAGCAATGAAAATGAGAATGTGGAAGAGCCCTCAATCTGAATGTTAGCATTCTTGGTTCATTGCTTGAATGTCACGTGCCCACTGAGCAAAGATTCGGTATCCATTTGGACAAACTACTACTTTAAAAAAATGCCCTGGACAAGTTCCCAGCTCTCCTGGGCTCATTTGTGGCCCACTCTTTCTAAAATGTCTGTTCAGGTCCCAGTGTGTTACATGCAGGGGTCATTTCATAGAAAAAGAGCTAGGGGAACTCATTAGCATAACTCATTAGCATATGCCACACCCCCTGACATCATAAGGCCTGGCGGTGGACCTGCAAGGCCGGCGGGAGTGCGAGGAAGCCCCACCAAGGCCCTCCCTGGCCCCAGGCAGGCAGGGGTGGGGAGAGGCAGGGAGGAAGCAACTTACCCTCCCTCTTCTCCTGCCTCCTCCTGGCTGAATGAGGGCCGGAATGAGGGCTTCGTCATGTGCCCTGCCCCCCGTACCTCACCCAGGGGAACTGCGATCCCCCGCGATCCCCCCCAAAATGACCTCTGGTTACATACCCCATATGGTATTCTACAGTATCACAGCACATTATCTGGGGTCCCCTCAAAAAACTGTTGCCGCTGGTTGATAAGACCTTACCTTGCTAACACCCAGCCAAGATTCCTCCAATTTATTTTCATTACAGCTCTCAAATGCCATCTCGAGAAACATTTCGCTCTGTTCTTGATTCCCAAGCATCAATTGGACGTAGGCTTTCATGTGGTAAACCCTGGGGTAGTAGACTGGGCTTGTAGAGCACTGTGTCAATATCTGTTCCAAATGCTAGCAAGAGAACAAGGGAGAGTGACATCAGGTAGAGTAAAAAAATTAACCAAAGTAGGGATTCCAGTTGCCGGGTGAGGGATCCCCCTATTTTGGGGGCTCCCCCCAGAAGCCGGCCACTTGGCCGGTGGGGGAAAGCCCCACCCCCAACAGTTTTCCATGGTCCCACACACGCCTGCCCGCACACGCCGTGGTCCCGCACACATCAAATCTGTGGCTTGCAGGGCAGGCGCACACAGCGCCTTCAGTTTCCGAGCAGGGGCCACCGGTTTCTGCCTTGCAAGCCGCAGATTTGTAAGGAGACTTTAAGGAAAGACAAACGTTTTTGTGAATCTCCCTGTTGTCATGGCCTGCATGTTGCCCTTGTTACGTCACGATCTTCCTTGCTACAAAGGACCTGCAAGGCCTAAGAATGGAGAGCAGAGGGAACTGCACCACCTGACTGCTCCTCTTTCCCCTACCCTCTACTCACACACTGCCTAAGCACGGATGTTTCATCCTCCCTGGCCTGATGCAGATCCTCCTTAAACAAGCCAACTTTCCAATGTCCTTGCAGTGCTTCCTCCCTCTCAGCCAATCAGGAAATGTCTTGGAGCCCTGTCTCAGCTGTAGCCATCTCCTGGTATGTCACCTCTCCCTGGGCAGGGCTTGATGGTGTAACGGGCTCCCCCCACCAAACTCAGTTACTTAACCCAGAGTCTGCAGCCCCGCCTACTTGTTTCAGGAGCATCTGGGCCCTGCATGGCTGGCCTCTGTAAATTCCTAGAAGTGACAAGGGTAGCTCTAGGAATTGCCAGGAACTTAATGGCAAGAACTTCCTGTAAGAAGATGAGATCTTACTTTTCTTTAGTCTCCCCAGGATACCCCCCTCCCCCAAAAAAAATTGGACCTCACCCATCAATCAGATGTGTGTTAGTGGCCGAGGGTCGCAATTACTTGGAGGTCTCCCACCATAAGCAAGCAAGTGGGAACCCTCTCTCCCACTGATGGAGAATGACTTATGGGCCCCAGGCTTTCGCTAGGGCAAAACCACAGTGTGCTTGTCCATGCTTCTTACCTTTAAAGTCTTGCTGCGTATCTCACGGACCTTGTCGGGCCTTTCTTCAAGATATTTGTGCAGGAGCAGAGCCTCACATTCCACAAACTTGCAGAATCCATAATTAGCACTGAGTGAGCTGCTCGTTCTCCTCACCAGCCTTCTGGCCTGTTCAAATAGTCCTTTGAAGTCCTCCCACAGATTAAGTCTGCCAAACCTTTTTGCGTAAGACAGACCCACACGAATCACATTTTAGGAAGCAAGAAACCGGGCCCCTTCCCTTTCAAAATATGTAACCTGGATTCCATTATTCAGCACGAAAGGACCCTAAAATGATAGACCTTTACCTAGCTCTAAGAACCTCATGCCACTTTGTCATGAATTTGGGTCCATGTGCTACAAATCATACACTGCCTCCCCCATCCTAGGCCCAGGGCTGGTTGGTGAAGCAGCCTGCCCACAAGGCGGGGCCTGTGGACCCCCTGGAATTAAAGCTCATCTCCAGACTGCAGAGATCAGTTCCCCTGAAGAAAATGGATGGTTTGGAGGGTGGACTCTGGCAAAAAAACGCACTGAGATACTTGGCCTCCCTGGGCTCAACCCTCAAGTATCCAGAAGTTTCACAATCTGGATCAAACAACCCTATCTCCCCCCCCCCCCAATCTCCCACTGATGGTCGGGGACAACGATCTGGCAACCCTATGACAGACCTCAGGGCAGCCTCTCTCCCCCACGTGAAGGGGTGGGGTCTTGCTAAGATTTTCCCTATGGGCCTACATTTCCCAGAATCCCTCCAGCCCTGGGATAGGGCCTGGTGAAATTGGAGGGGAAATGAAGGGCAATCATTACTAAGGAGGCTGGGCCCTGAGAGAAATAACGTAAAGCCCCCCTGAAGAGAGAAAGTGTTCTTCTTCCTGGAGCGGAGTGACAGAAGCGGATGCTGCCAAGCAGAAGGGGATCCGTCACCCGAGCAGGGGGGATTGGACCCAGAATGGCCCAGGTACAGCAGGGACCAGTGAGGCTGCTGTGTTAGGAGGCCTGATTGTAATCTTGCAGGTTAATTTTGCCCTGTTTGTTGGAAACATATCCCTTGTTAAAACTGTTGCTCATAAGCATCCCATCTGTTTGGTGATTGTCGATGTTGTTTAGGGTTCCCAAGTCTGAGCGGCGCTGGAGCGGGGGACTCCAGGGTCCCTCCGGGAGTGTGTGCGCGTGTGCAAAGCGCACACGCGGCGCAACCACATCACCCGGAAGTGACGCGACCATGCCGAGCACGCTGGGGGCGGGGCCACGACCATCCGAGGGAAAACCATAGAGTTTTCCCTCGGATGACTGTGGCCCCACCCCCAGCGTGCCCGGCGTGGTCACGTCACTTCCAGGTGACGGTGCACGTCGTATGCTTTGGGGGTAAGTTTCCCCCGGGGCCCGATCCGCCGGTGGCGGGGAACGGGCCTCTGGGGTGGGGGGGTTCCCCGCCCCCTGGGGGGACTTAGCAAGCCTATCCATGTTGTTTAGGGTTGCCAGGTCCAATGACTGTGCTGGCAGGAGATTGGGGGGGACGGGACACTTTTTATTTATTTAAATTTCTACCCCACCCTCCCCACGAATGGGCTCAGGGCGGCTAACAAATGGGGCACCAAGTGGAAGTGGAGGGCCGCGGTGTGCTGACCTCAGGCAGAAGTGATGTCATCACGTCAGTGACGTCAGGGGTGAAGCTCTGGTTTCGGGGCAAAACCCTATGGTGAAATCGCCCTCAAACCATAGATTTCTGCCCAAAACCCAGAGCGTTGCCATGTGACCTTGCCAACAGGATGATGTCACTTCTGTGTGACATCAGCACGTCACATTTTGGGGGTGGGATTTCTTCCTGCTGTCCAGCTGGCCACCCCTAACTGGGGAATAGCGTTTCTAACGTTGTTCAATAAAGCAGTTTATTTTAAACTGCCCGAGTCTTCGTGCCTCAAGCTCGACTGTTCCCCTGGCAACACCTTCGCCAGTACGGACTGGGTTAGTGGCAGGGAAGGGGCTTGAGGAGTGGGGGCTGTGAAGTGGGACTTATACAGAGTTGCCAGCTTTGGGTTGAGAAATACCTGGTGACTGGGGTGGGGTGGAGCCTGGGGAAGGCGGTGTTTGGGAAACAGAGGGACCTCAGCAGGGTATAACGCCAAAGATTCCACCCCCCCAAAGCAGCCATTTTCTTCAGGGGAAATTATCTTGGCTGTATGGAGAGCAATTGTAATAGCGGGAGATCTCCAGGTGCCATCTGGAGGTTGGCAACCCTAGATTTATAGTTGCCGTAGCTATGGCCATCCCATCATCAGACACGAGAAGGTCTATTCTGTTGTGATCAAGCTGGATATGGTGGCATGGAGAATAATTCAGGATTACTCCCCTCAGTGGCTCTGAGGCAGGTACGCCAGAACACACAGACGTTTTTCTACCAAGTGCTCCTATGACATTAAGTGGAAACGCTCCTGCCCACAGGTATGGAAACCCATTCGTGTGACTGCGCAGATAAATGGACATCAGTCGCAGAGTATAGTGACCTGTGTATGCTAGCTCACAGTGCCAATACAGCCTCAGGAGACAATGTTGTGCTTGCACAATATCTCCAGGATTGGGAGGGGAAACACATGGTGCTGTGAAACATTACCAAATTGCCACGGAAGAATACAGGCCAAGCATGATGCCGCTTTGAGACATAAGGACGCAGTTTGTTTCGTTGGCACGAATGAAGTCCAAGCAGTACTGAAACGGATGATACGAAAAACCTGCAAAAGAATACCTACATTAGTGAACAGGCATCCCTGGCTGTGCGACTCTGGTCCAAGTCTGAAGCAACCAAAGTGCTGTAAGTTGTATGAGAGGGAGAGTCTAATAAAAGCATTAGAAGATGGCCCTTCTCCTGCTGGTTGAGTGGCGCTCATTAGCTGTCCAAAAATGACACCATGGATCTGTTCAAGCCGCTTCTTCCTGTCCCACCTCACATTCCTGTGTCTTGTCATAATGCCTAAACTATGGCCGAGTTCAGACTGGCAATTTGAAGCGCTAGGGAGTTGTGGCAAAGAAGACCCGGAACAGACCGGGGACGGCTTGTTCACGGTATTCCAGTTCACACTGCAGTGAATGAAGTGGGAAGATACCATGGAGGAAGCGCAAGGGAGCATTTGTACTGTCGGCCTGCCCCTGGCAGGCTGTTAGTGGCTGTTTCTGTGCTCCACTGAATGCGCCTATGCGCATGGGCGCATGCCACGGAAACAGCCAGTGCCTATATCAACTGTGGGTTGTTCCCGCCTTAGTGGCGCTTGCGTTCACACATCAGGGAACCAGAATTAACCCGCTCTACACACGGTTTGCTACCACTTTCACCTGGTACTTTTTAAACTCAGGAGGGAAGCGGCACAAGACGGCTTGAGTACGACCGAGGGACGCCTGACAGATGTGCGCGTGTGAACCCACCCCTTTAATCCGCTACTGAAAAGCTCCTGAAACGTTTCGCTGCCGGGCAAAACTGCCAGTCTGAACTCGGCCTATGTAAACACACACATGCCTGAGGTAAGAATTCACTGGGTAAACCTTGCTCTGATGGGAAGGTTTTTGAATGGATGTTCCACTCTCTGATGGGACCAAAAAGGGAACTCCCTGCTTCTGAGGAACCCTTGAAAATATGGGCTTAAAGGTACACAATCTATGTTATGCTTTTCTCAGCACAGATGGCTGCTGAGCCGGGAGAGGGGATCCATTTCTCAGGAAGGGAGGTATCTGAAGATACTTTAAAAGTTTAGTTACTCAGAAACGGTGTTTCCTTTGGCTTTTCTGTAGCTTCACCTTATAGGTTTTGTCGGCTGTTTGTCTGTGTGTAGAACAAACTTTTGTACTTACACTTTGTACGGACAATTTGTACTTACACGTTGAGAGCCAGCCACTTTAAATTCACAGTACCATACAGAGCTGAGAAAGTGGTGAATTCTAGTCTTGGTGTACATGTGCCCAGAGATCAGTATTCAAAGGGTACTGATATTTGGTGGTGCGTCTCACCAAAAGATGATTTAACTAATAAACAATTACCTCAGCATCTTAGGGGGTGGCTCCGAAATAGCACAGTGCCAAAAATTTACTTACTTACTTAATTAATTAATTTAAAGTGTGAGGTGCAGAAAGGACAGAATAGGAGTCAGAATGGAGAAATTCTCCACTGAGTCTCCACTATCCAAGGACTGGATACTTGAAAGGTCCTTGTGACAGATGCAGATATTCACTGTCCAGGAGTAGTCTATCTGATACATTCTAGGTTCCAGGAGACTGGGATGTGTAAAGATGCATAATGCTCCAGTGATAATCACAAACCAGTGGAACACGGCTATTTGAGCAAGTCCCAGATTTCTAACTTGCTTCCCCCCCCAAAAAAAAATTGCAAGGTAGAGCACACACACGAGTGGATAAGCATGTATATGGACCATGTGGTAAACAGGTGCGCACAGTGCAAGGAACGCAGAGAAGCACATGACACCTGGCTACACACTCTCTTCCAAACCCCACGCAAAGTGGTCCACTGGAAAAACTGATTACCAGCCAGGGCTTGACACTTTGGACTTCCGAGCTCTGTTTCTATAGTGCCCACTCCAGGAGGCATTGCATAACTCAGAGCCTCACTCCTGTTTCAGCACCAAGAATCCCTATAACAGAGGATCTGCTATTTAGAATGGGTAATAATATGGTGGAAAGTGCTGTCGGGTCGTGGCTGACTTATGATGACCCCGTGGGGCTCTGGAGGCAAAACATTAGGACATAAGACAAGCCATGTTGGATCAAGCCAATGGCCCATCCAGTCACACAGTGGCCATAATCCAGTTGCTATCAGGAGGTCCACCTATCCAGGTCAGGGCCAGCTTTTATTTGAAGGAAGACCATCGTAATGCTATGTCAGCATCCACCTGAGGGAACTGTGCTACCATTGTAACCAAAGCCCATAACATTTCTAAAAATCCAATACTTTACAAACCAGGATGACACAGAAGAAAATGTGCGTGCAATTTTTTTTTTTTTTTGGGGGGGGGATGCCATCTATGTTCCCATAAATAAATGAACAAGCTAATTCTGAAGCTAGTGTGGAAGTGTCCTAGATCTTCAGAGAATGAGGAAGTCCACTTTTCTCCAACCTGATACCACTCCCATGAGTACAAGGCTCAATCTACCTCCCCTTCAACCTCTTCCTTGCCCAGGTCACATTGGTACACTTTGATTGCCACATCTCCCAGTTTAAGAAGAGAAGAAGAGAAGAGATTGGATTTATACCCCGCCCTTCACTACCCAAAGGTGTCTTGGAGTGGCTTACAAAGTCCTTTCCCTTCCCCTCCCCACAACAGACACCCTGTGAGGTAGGTGGGGCTGAGAGAACTCTGACACAAACTGCTCTTTTTCAAGGACAGCTGTGCCAGAGCTTGTGACTGACCCAAGGTCACATCAGCAGGTGCAAGTGGAAGAGTGGGGAATCAAACCCGGTTCTCCCAGATTAGAGTCCGCACACTTAACCACTACACCAAACTGGCTTTAAAATATTTGCTTGCCGTTGAATCAGACTCGTGCATCAGACACATCATGATCAGCACCCAGACGTACCAGCATGAAGCAAGAGATCCAGGCACGCGGATACGAAGTACGCTTTCCCAATGACGTTGTTGTCTCGAAAGGAGAGGTCCTCCAGCCAGCTCAGCACATGGACAGCTTCTTTGTACCTAGAGAAGGACAAGGGGGGGGGGCACCCTCTCTGATTACAGCACGTCAGTTCCGAAAAGGGGCTGGTTTGTCAAGTGGCGAAACTGAGGCAATTGTACTTTGGGCACATCATGAGAAGAAAAGAGTCACTAGAAAAGACAATAATGCTAGGGAAAGTTGAAGGCAGCAGGAAAAGAGGAAGGCCCAAAATAGAAGGATTAGCTCAACAAAGGTAACTGTGCCCTTCAGCTGGCAAGACCTGAGCAAGACTGTCAATGATTGGACGTTTTGGAGGTCATTAATTCATTAGGTTGCCGTAAGTCAGAAGTGACTCGATGGCTACACACACACAGAGAGAGAGAGAGAGAGAGAGAGAGAGCTTACTTTCCTTGCAACTGCTGAATTGGCCAGAGCCATTATGGCACCATCCCATCTAGCCTACTCTTTGTACAGCGCCTAGACGTATTCTCAGTGCAAACAAATAAAGAGGAAGTCCCCACTCGACTGAGGACCATGAGGATGCAACAGAGGAATCTGTCTTGTGGGATCATCATCAAACATCCTGTCTGAAATCGGGAACTGTTTCCTCCACCCCTCCAGAATAAACCAGTTGGGGACTCCGGGATCCTTCACCTTCTCCTGTAACACAGATCCAGGTGGGTAGCCATGTTGGTCTGAAGCAACAGAAGAAAGTTTGAGTCCAGTGGCATCTTCAAGCTTTCGGAAGCTTATACCCAGAATCAGGGCTTTTTTGGTAGAAAAAGCCCAACAGGAACTAATTAGCATAATAGGCCACACCCAACAGAAGAAACTTATTAGCATATTAGGCCACACCCCATGCCTTCCCTTGGCTTGCTTGGGCGCCCCACGGCTCCAGGGAGCCTGGGCAAGCCGGCCCTTGGACAGACCAGGGAAGGCACGGGGAGGCATTTAAATGCCTCCCCATCCTTCCAGGCCCCTCCCGGCCCACCTGCCTCAGAGTCACCGGGTGGAGGGTCGCTTTCCAGGCCTTCCCTCTGTAGCCACGCACACAGAGGTTTTGGCTGTAGTGGCTGTGGCCAACTCTGAAGTCAGCCGGAACTCCGTTCCTGTGCGTTCCTGCCCAAAGACAGCCTTGCCCAGAATTCAACTTTGTTGGTCTTAAAGGTGCCACTGGACTCAAACTTTGTCCTGTTGTTGCTGTAGCTGTTAGCCATTGAGTCGTACTCGACTCTTGGCGATTCTATGGGCCAGCTCTCTCCACGTTTTCTGATCTTGTGTTAGCCAAATTGCTCTATTATTGAATAAAGAGGGGGAATTATAATTATTAATATGCAATTGGCTTATCTATAGGATCTGACCTGTGTATATCAACTTGTACTGTTTCCTTGAGTTGTTCCATGCTCAAAGAAACAGTACAAGATCAGAAAACGTGGAGGGAGCATAGCATACATTAAAGCTTGCACGCTTAAGCTATGCTCCACTGTTGGAGGAGAAGCTGTGGCCCAGGTTTCGGCACCTGCCCTGCATGCAGAAGGTCCCAGGTTCAGTCCCCAGCATCTCCTTTCCAAAAGGATCGAGCAGCAAGCAATCTCTGCCTGGTACCCCGGAGAGCTGCTTCCAGGTGGCGATACCGACCTTGACAGACCAGTGGTGTTCCCTTACCTCAGACAGTGGGGGCACATGAAGCAAGGCCTCCAGAGATAACTCTCCTGGTGGGTAGGAACAGTTGGGAGGCTTGCCATTGACAATCACCGAGTCAGGCTGCAAGGAAGGACGTAGGGAGCCACCTCACAAAAAGCCAAGTGAAAGCATTATGAGACTGTGCACATTCAGTTGTCTTTTTATGAATGATTGGACATATGCTAATGGTCTGTGTATGCTCAATGAAGAACGACGACAAAAGCCAGTGCACAAATTCTTCCATGCTGGTCGCAATTGGCACACAGACCATGAGCCAAACTGGCTGCATTCCTATCTAGAACATCCTACAGAACTTCCTCGAATCCATAGGTTCTGTGGTAGATACACCAGACTTCCACTCTCGACAAGGTGAAGTGGAAAGGGTTCTCCGAAGGAAGACATTTTGAAAACCACTGCATTTCGTCAATATAGGAAGATCTACATGCAAAGTACCTCATGCTGAGAAAAAGAGCAGTGAAAAGGTCTGAGAGAGCACTGTAGTCGAGTTTAAATTTCCTCATCATCACGCATATCTGATGCCCTCGATAGCCTGCAAAGAAAAGCAGTGCGTGAAATTGTCCTCTCCCTCTGGATTATGAAGTCGTCATCGGTTGGGTGCTGTCAAACTTGACTTACCCAGCTGAATTAACCGCTAAAGTCAGGTTTCCCAAGCACAGCTTCATGTAGGTTAAAGATACCACCACCTTGGCTATTGTAACTAGTTCTCCACCAACAATTCCAAGGTGTGAACTACGGTCGATGACCATTGACTCATATTTTATCCATTCCTGTTCACGGCCTATCAGCTGGCAGCAGAGTGAGAACTCCATGTAAGAGGAGATTATCTGCGATGTTGCAAATGAGAAAACAACACATGGTGTTTATTTTGAAATCTCTGTTAGGGGACATTTCCAGCTGAGCTAAAAGGCTTGTTTGGTGTAGTGGTTAGGAGAACGGACTCTAATCTGGAAGAACCAGGTTTGATTCCCCACTCCTCCACATGCAGCTGCTGGTGTGACCTTGGGTCAGTCACAAGTTCTTTCAGAGCTGTTCTCTCAAGGGCAGTCCTCGAAAGAGCTCTCTCAGCCCCACCTAGTTCACAGGCAGTGTTTCCTCTAAGCTGAGTTAGTGTGAGCTAGCTCACAGTTTTTTAGCCTCTGGCTCACACATTTTTGTCTTCGCTCAGGAAGGATGGCCCCAGAGCCAACTAATTTATGCAGTAGCCAGATCACTTGCTCACAACTTTAATGCCAGTAGCTCACAAAGTAAAATTTTTGTTCACAAGACTCCACAGCTTAGAGGGAACATTGCTCACAGGGTGTCTGTTGTGGGGAGGGGAAGGGAAAGGAGATTGTAAGCCGCTCTGAGACTTCCTTTGGGTAGTGAAGGGCAGGTTATAAATCCAATCTCTTTTTCTTCTTGTTACACTGGAAGCTGCAGAGTTTATATGGCAACAAGTTTGTGTAAAAGTTTTCCCCCCTTTAATTGCAAGATTAGGATCTGTGTTGGAGAAAACACATATCCTACAATGGCTGAATGACAGCAGAAGTGTTTTCTTCATTTGGGAATCTGCCTTAGGAAGCCACACTAACCCTGGACACATGTTAGAGCGAATGCATATACATCCTGTATGTATTTGCATACATCTGTTTGTAGGACTGAGCTACTGCATGTTCACTTTAAAAATGAAACCTGGATAAATGGGGGATTTAAATAACACATTCAGGTTTACATGTGTTGAATATAATATGAGAATTACTCAGTGTGTGTACACAGGGCCCGGACCTGAATGGCCTAGGTTAACCTGATCACACCAGGTCTCAAAAGCTAAACAGGGTCGGCCCTGGTTAGTACTCGGACAGAAGAAGAAGAAGGTGGTGGTGGACTACCTTATGCTTGAGGGGGGTTTAGATTCCCTTAAGTAATTTGTAAATTGTGCTGTGCAACCTGTTCTTTGAACCCAAACGTTTGGCTGGAGGATTGAGCGTTTGTGACACATGGTATGTACCTCTGACATGAGGGACTGTTGGAGATGGATGGGGTGCACCTTACGAAGAATGGAAGGAATGTCTTTGCTGGAAGACTTGCAAACCTGATCAGGAGGGCTTTAAACTGAAGCCATCGGGGGTGGGAAGAAAAAGGCTGATGTTGTGCGGCATCCCCAACACTAAATTCAAGAAAGGGAGTGACCAGAGAATAAATGAACGGGGAGAGGTGAGCTTAATAATTTTCAGGTAAATTCGAAGGGACCTATGGTAGGAAAGGATGTCTGTAATCTGAGATGTCTTTATACTAATGCACAGAGTATGGGAAATAAACAGGATGAGATGTTCCCTGTGCTAGACCCAATTCAGAGTCTTGATTGCCTTACATAGCCCTCCGGTATTGTCAGAGGTATTCTGGCTGTTAGTGTTCTGTGTCTGAGTACAGGCCGTTGTATTCTAGCCTCAATCCTTGCAGGACAGCTGCCAGTAAAAAGGCCTTTGCTGTCTTCCAAGTAAGTCTTGCCCCTCCCTTGTTTATTCTGATGTTTCCGCAACTGTGTGCAAATAGAATCCTTTATGGGCATGTTCTGGTTGCTCTCCTTCTCAGTGTCTGAATGGCTCCATGTGTGCAGGCAGAGAAATGAGTTTTCTTGGTCTTGCAAGCAGTTACCAGCTGGCCTGACCGGACGTGCTCCTCAGGAAATGTGGTTGGGTCTCTAGTTTGCGGTGTTGCTTTCCCACAGGTGGGCCTAATCAGAATAATGTTCAACATCCATCCTCTGGAGAACCTCAAGGTTTACATCAGCAGTCGACCTCCGCTTGTGGTGTTTATGATCAGCGTCAGCGCAATGGCAATCGCTTTCCTGACCCTGGGTTATTTCTTTAAGATCAAGGAGATCAAGTCACCTGAAATGGCAGAGGTAAAGTATGAGATGGTGTACATATTTGCACATTTCTTGCTGAGGGTGGGACAAGTGTGGGGCATCCTATAACTTCCTGCTTGCTTTATGGTACGATGTCCTCAGCAATCTTAAATGAATCTAGCATGAACATGAACCGAAATGACTGGCGCAAGCTCTCTGGTTTATCAGACTAGGGGTTGTAATCTCATGGGTGGGAGATTAAAACCCAAAGAATGACCCAAGTAGGACTCATTTGCCTCTCTTTTCTGGTATTGTGTCAGCAACTGGTTTTGAAAATCCCATCAGTATAAAAAAGTAGTTTGCCTTGTGGCACTGCAGCGTTCTGTTCAAGAGACCCAAACTGAGGCCCTGTTGAGCACACAACACTTACTTCAGTTATACCCCGGTTTTCTCCACAGTGGTAACCCAAAGTTGTTTACAGCATCCTCCCTTTCTCCATTTT